ATTTTTCTGTTGGATTATTTACCTTTATCTTGTTGTGGTGCTCAAGTATTTTATAAATTCTAGATATAAGTCCCTTATCTGACATGTCATTACCAAAGACTTTTTCCCTTTTTACCCTGCTGGAGAAGTTTCTGGATGTGCGTAGGGATTTGATTCTTAGAAGGTCCCATTCATCTATTTTATCTTCTGCTGGTTGTAGATTATTTTTATATAAAGTAGGTTGCCTAGGGCTTTGCCAACCTGTTCCCCAAGACTTCATTCACAGACACTCTTAAAACGCCAGCTGTCAGAAAATCAAAAGACGAATCACATTGGAAAAATCTGCTGTCATGGACCTCCTTAGAGTGCTGAAGAGCAACAATGTCAGTCTAGATACTAAGGGTGCGTCTAATCCAGGTCATAGTCTTCTCAATTACTTGTTAATGCTTCATAGAGCTGGACAGTGACCAAGGATGACAGAAGAAGAATAGATTCCTTCAAGTTAATGGTGCTGGAGAAGAGTCTTGAACAAACCATGCACTGTCAAGAAAACAAATCAGTCTCTCCTTGGAGGCTAGGATTTTGAAGCTCTGCCTCACTTACTTTGGGCATGTGGCCAGGAGAGACTTGTCCTTGGAGAAGGACATCATGCTCAAAAGGGTGGATGGACAGTGAAGGAGAGGGAGACTCCAGATGAGATGGATTGATAGAGTATCTCGGGCAATGGTGTGTCGTAATTAGTGAGACTGGCTCAGGACAGGAAAGGGTTCAGAGCTACTCTACATAGGGTCACTATACATTACAGGCGACTCAACAGCACTTAACAACAGTAACATACTATATTGGCTGATTTTTATTTAAGCCTCTTGTTTAGAATCAACAAGACCTCAGGGGAGGGCCTTTGTATTTAAAGTTAGTTGTTATTGTTTTTGGAGGAACATTCTTCTTAGTGGTGCAGCACTCTTCTGTCAGTTTGCTGTACTGAGGTATCCTGGGGTTACTGTGATGCCAAACCTTGTTCCATTGAGGTGTCACATGCCATAACTTTTACCCATGGTGGACAGTGTTTGGTGGAGCTCCCAGTTTAAGAAGTGGTAACCACTTCCTAAACAACCTGCCTCTGGAAACTCTATGAACTTTGATAAATGTCAATAGTTATAGAAAGGCTTCAGACCTTTTGTTCAGAGGGTTGCTATGAGTTATATCGAGTCGAAGGTGATCAACAACAACAACTTGTTAAATAGGAGTTTGGGAATTTGTCTGTGGTACTTAATTTCACTTTTCTTTTTGTTTTGTTTTGCTTTATTTCCTTTTTTAATATAGTCAGATTGTACACTGTGTCCTGGGCTCCCTGGTCTGCCCCTCTGGCCTTGTTAACGTCCTGTTGTCTTAGTTTTTTTTTGGTTTCCTGTCCAGCTTGGTATTTGGAAGGGAAGGCTCAGTGCCCATAATATCCTCCTTCAAAATCTCCTCGTCTCTTCTTGTCCTTTTCCTTTTCCGTGTTAACTTACAACAAAAATCTAATTTGGTTTTTTTATTGTTGGACTTGAAATTATGTTTACTTAGAAACAGTTGACACCTTTATACTATTAAGTCATCTTATCCATGAATGTGATACAATTCTCTGTTAACATTTAATTACCGTCAATAACATTTTCTTTTGTTGGGATAATTTTTAGGTATTTTATTCCTTTGTTGTTGTTGTTGCAAGTATTATTAAAATTGCATTTCCCATTTATTTCAGTTGTTGCCTAACAATCTTTCTAAATTCTCAGTACTTCTGATGTTGTTAGATGCCATCGAGTCGAGTACGGTTCATCGTGACTCTGAACATCAGATCTGAACGCTGTGCTGTCCTGGGCCTTGCTCATTATCTCTGCCAATCCTTCTCGTTGACGGGCTTCCCCTCCTTCACAACCTCTCCACTTCTCCGAGCGTGCTGTCTTTCCCCAAGGACTGACCCCTCCAAACAACTTGCCCGAAGTATGTGAGACAAAGTTTCACCATCCTTCCTTCCACGGAGCATCCTGGCTGCACTCTCCCCAAGTCATACTTGCTTATTTCCTTGCCAGTCCATGGGATATCTAGTGCTCTTCTCCAGCACCACAATGCAAAGTTCTTCTTTTGTTTTTCTTCACTGTCCAGTTCCCAGATATATGGCAAGCAAGTAAAAAAAACTATGGTTTGTGTCAGACTCATAGTTGTTTGGGTTTGTTTGTTTGTTTGTTTGTTTGTTTGTTTACAGAAGAAAGAAAGAAAAACCCGTTTGGTCCAGGGCACCTTCGTCTTTAAATTGCCCTCCTTGCTTTTCAGCACTTTGGAGAGCTCCCTGGCGGCAAACTTTCCTGATGCAGCACATCTTTTGTTTTCCTTGTTGCTGGTGCCGAGGTCGTTGATTGTGGATCTCGGAAGATTAAATCATGGACAGTTTCTCCGTGTGTCATGGTGTTAGGAATCATTGAGTTGGCTCTGGTTCATAGTAGTAGCATGCAGCACAGAAGCCTGCCCGTTCCTGCTCCCCCATCAAGATCTCTCTGTGCCTGAGCCCGCGGTTGCCGCCACTGTCAGTCCGTCTCATGAGGGTCTTTCTCTGTGTCACTGACACGCATGACGTCCTTCTCCAAGGACTGGCCCCTCTTGATAACATCCATCAGCCAGAACATGTGCAGTCAAGTCGCACCATCCTCGCCTCGAAGGAGCACTCTGGCTGCATTTCGTACGAGACAGACTTGCTCTTTCTTTTGGTAGACAGCACCACAGGTCAGAGGCGTCCGTTCTTCTTTGGTCTTCCTTACTCATTATCAAGCTTCATTCTATAGTTCCTAAGGTAGTTCCTTGGGTTTTCTAGGTAGGGCCTTTTTATTTACCAGTAATCAGGTGGTTTCTTCCTTTCCAGTCCTGACATCTTTTGTTTCTCAGCTTTCAGTCACTGAGCTCATAAACAAAAGCGATCAGAGCCTGTTACCACTGTGCTTGGAGGCCTAGTGGTGCAGTGTGTTGTGTTGCACTGCTAACTGAAAGGTCTGTGGTTCAAATCCCCTGCAGGAGAAAGAGAGGCAGTTTCCTCCCTTAGAGATGCCCAGCTTTAGAAACCCTTTGGTGGGGCCGTGATGTTTTTTGTCTCCTTGAAAAGTTCAGATCATGGTGTCTGTGGGAAGCAGGCGTTCTGTTCCTGCCTCTCGGGGGGCCTGCAGGCCTCCTTTTTCTCAGTGGAGCAGGGAGTTCAGAAAAGGACAAGACCGACCAAGAGGAAGGACAGCAGCTCAGGCAAGAGAGAAGGGCTTACTGTCCACACTTCATCTGCGGGGCAGAAGTCCTGGCCAGAATCGATAGAATGCACACGTACTTTAGAGGGTAATGCCTGGGGTGTTAGGGCCACATACTTCCTGATGGCATATTTAATACAAGCAGGCGACAGCACCTAACAGCAACAGCTCAAGAACTGCCGGAAAGTGGAAGTGATTAGCACCTCTATTAGCTGCCACGGCCCCTGGTGGCCTCAGCCGCTGACCAGAAGGTCAGTGCTTCAAGCCTGCCCGCTAGTCCTCGGGAGGAAGGCAGTCTGCTCCCGTGAAGGTCTGAGGGGGTGTGACTCAGTCCCCGCGGCCAGCTGTGAGTTAGAACCCACTGACAGCCATCAGGTTGGCTTCGTCATTGCTCTGTTTTGTTTGTTTTTTGATTTTTTTTTAAATTCATTTCAATGAACATTTACAGAGATCTTGGATTTCCATTCATTCATTGTTGCACCTTTCTCCCCACCCACCCCTTTGAAAAGTAAAAGAAAAACTCCTTCATTGGTACACAATCCCCCCGCACCCCCCACCCCCACCCCAAGTATACTCCACTCTGCAACCTTCATTCCAGGCTCTTAGGATAATCATAATACCCTACAATATATTGCTTTTAAACTGTACTCTCCCTCATCTGTTTCAGTGCAGTATATATAATTCATCCAGGTTTTCTCATTCTTACCCCAACCCTCATGTCAGTCCATTGGTTTTTACTAGCTGGAGACCCTGAGGGTCACTTTACAGGCTCAGCTGCACACTGTGGTTTCGGGGTTCGCATCCACCAGGGGATGCCTCAGGGAAAGCCTGGTGTCTGACTTCCTGCTCAGCTGTTGTGAACTCGGAGAGCACAGCTCTTCACTGGACACACGGGGTCTCCGGCAATGGACGTCCTAGGTGTGCAGAGCTCCTTTGTCCTGGGGGTTGGCAGAAACTAGTAGGCTCAGCATTCCTGAAGTCTTTTCTCGGTCTTGTGGCCAGAACTGAGAGAGTTCTGCCTTCTGCTCCTTGAGAGAGTCCCTGTTGCTGTTGTTATGTGTCGTCGAGTCACTTGTGACTCATAGCGACCCTATGTACAAGAGCCCTAAACTCTGCTCTGTCCTGTGCCAATCGCACTGTCTCTGATATACCCATCCCGATTACCCCAGTCACTGAATTAATCCATCTCGTTGAGGGTCTTCCTCTCCTGCGCTGTCCCGCCACCCTCCCAAGCATGACGTCCCTCTCCAAGGACTGGTCTCTCCTTACAACATGTCCAAAGTATGTCAGACGAAGCCCCAGAATTCTTGCCTCCAAGGAGCAGCCTGGTTTAACCCTCTCCAGGGTGAATCTGTTTGTTTTTTTTGCAAGTCCATGGTACCCTCAATACTCTTCTCCAGCACCACAGCTCAAAGGCATCAATTCTCCTCCTGTCTTCTCTAGTCATTGCCCAGCTCTCTGGTGCATAGCAAGTGATTGCAAAGACCATGGCCTGTATCAGGCGCAAATCTCCAAGTGGATTTAACCTAAAACTCTGATCGAGGTGAACAACACAGTGTATGTACATGGGTCTTAATTGCTGCACCTTTGTAACAGGGCAGCTATTGAACGTACTTCAGGAGGGGCTCGTTAGAGAGTGACGCGTGCCTCCGGCAGATACCACGTGACCATTTAAAGGGACAAGATGGCCCTGTGCACATCTTGACATGAAGATGTCTGGGGTGTTAGGACCACACCAGGTGTACCTGAGTCTGTACTCATGTGTTGGCTGGTTCTTGCCCCTTGGTAGCATAAATGGTCCTCTCAAGGGACAAAAAGATGTTAACTTATAAAACTGGTATGACTGTTTTAAAAACCCCAATTAAATGCGTGAGCAGCTGCCTTTAGGTGTAGGTGTGAACTTGTAGACAGCGTCAAGCAAGAACATTACAAATACTCTCTCCTCTAACGCACCTGTCGGTGGCTTCCCTTGTGTTTACCTTAAATATACGCATCATTCTTCTGATCTAAATATTTATATAATTTCTCAGCGACTTTACCTGCAGACGCTCAGTGCTAGAGTCTGCTAAGTCCACACCTTGTGTTGGTTTTCTTTATCCTTCTGCTGTTCCCTCCACCTCCAGCACCCAAGTGAGGGAACCCCTCGCTCTCGGAGAGTTGGAGGCCCCCACCTGGGGAGGGAGCTGTGATCCTACCCCCACCCCCATTTCTATGAACGACAGGGATCTGTGGGAGTTGGCTTAAAGGTCTTGTTAAGTCCCGTCGAGTCAGAACCCACTTATAATTGACCTCCAGCAGGTTTTCAGAGGCTGTCAGTCACATGGGACGAGATTGCCCATCTTCATCCCTTAGAGCAGCTGGTGGAATTGAACTGAGTTCCTTTGGATTGGCAGCACAACTCCTTACAACTAAGCCACCAGAGCTAAAGAAAGATAGGTGTTGGAAAGGAGCTAACTCTGTCCTGTGTCCCAACCAGAGGTGGCAGCTTGGCCACCTACAGAAGCATCAGTGAGTATATAGAAATGGTCTGTATCAGCTTCCCAAAGCAGCTGTAACACGCACAGAAGCCATCCATGGGCAGATAGAAATACTGAGATGGTCTCTGTCAGCTTCCTAAAGCACAGAAGCAAACTCTTCCGGCTCTGGAGTGTGAAACTCAAAGTTAGAACCTTCTGGAAGGACATGAGGAACACTTACCTCGTGCTGGCCCGTTATCTCCTTGATAACACGCTCTCCCTCTGCCCTACAGCAGGCCTGGCCCAGCGGGACCCAGCAGATCTTGCTTCCCCCCACCTGGCAGCAGCTCACGGGCGTGGCCACCCACACATCTGTGCAGCACGCAACTGTGATTCCCGAGACCATGGCGGGCACCCAGCAGTTGGCAGACTGGAGGTGAGCGGACCTGACTGGGGGCAAGTCGGTGGGGAGACACATGGATCCACGTTCTGAGAACACTCCAGCTGGCCAGGGCCCGAGTTACCTGGCGTGCAGAGCTTTCTAAGTTAAAATACATATCGTGTTAAGGTGATGGGAAAATTTGGAAAGGACAGTGCTGAAGGTTGAATAAGATGAGCACAATTGAGGTCACTGACTTAAAACATGTTCAGTGAAGCAGCAAGGGTTTTGTCACATTTATATAGAGAGAGCACAGTTAATTCATTTCAAACCTTAAACACAAGGTAGGAAGTGATTCCAGAGTGGTGAGGGGCTCGCCACGGGAGCACAGCCCGGCGACTCTGGTCCAGTGCCATTCCAGGCCCAGGATATAGAGCCACTGTTACATCCCCAGGGCAGCCCCCCCGGATTTGTGGTGGTTTCTTGGAATCTACGCCCACTTGCAACAGGCAAAAAAATGTGTCACCCATGGAAGAACTCAGAGGAGAGTCCCGGGGCTCTTGGTCATCCAGGAAGCTGCAGATGGCATGACGAGTGGGGGACCACGGGTAGGGTTTGCTCAGAGTGGACCACCCCCATGTGCTCATCCAGTGCACCCCTCCGTGACTTGACCTGCCTTGTAGATGGTGTCAGCTCTCCCTGGGGCCCAGACACCCAGCTGACCTCCACCAGCTCATGGTCCCACCCACTGCTTCTGGGGCACCACCCACTCCTGACTGTTCCCTCCTGGTCAAACTCTGCTCGTCTAATGCCCTTACCCTCTGCTGTGGGCCATCCACCTGCCTTCTCTGCCAGTGCAGAGCCAAATGGCATCCCCATGGTGCCAGGGCTCCCTGGCCCTCCAGGCCTGTGTCTCTCTCAGCATAGACAGCAAGCATGCCAGAGCACATACTCAAGTGTCCATGCCAACCCTGAGGACCCACGACTCCTGGTTCAACCACCGGCTGAGTACAGCTCGCAGGACAAAGTGAGAGGGCACAGGTGGAAGACCGACCGCCACCGCTTCCATCTCTAGACTGTACTCCAACTGATAAGGGGGAACCTGGTGATTCAATGGTAGAATCCTCACCTTCCATCTGGGAGATCCAGGTTCAGTTCCCGGCCACAGCACTGAGCATACAGCCACCACCATCTGTCCGTGGAGGCTGGCACGTGACTGCAGCATGGAGCTTTCAGGCTGAAGACAGATCAGGAAGAAAGGCCTGGTGATCTCAAAATCAGCCAGGGGAACCTTACAGATCCCAGCAGTAGTCCAACAGCTAGAAATGGGGACAGTGCAGGACCGGGCAGCATTTTCTTCCCTGTGTCACGGTGAGGGTAAGACCACACCAATAGTAGCTGCAGTAGAAAGAGCATGCCTGGGTGCCTTCCCTGCCCCCCGCCTTCTGATGACAGCACCCACCCCCTGGCCATCCCCAGATGTTGGGAGCACTTTCAAACCAGCATGACTCCTGCCTCATAAGCCTGCTGGGGGGCTGAGTGAAATAAAACACAGGCTTGGGGACCAGCCCAAGGTCTGCCCATGTGTGATAAGTGGGGTGTTCTGTCCCCAGCTCCACCAGCGTCTGTGCTGCTGAAGACCACTCTTCCTATCTCCCATCGTCCATGCTTCCTGACATTTCAGCAGCCCTCATTTACTCGTCCCTACCTCGTTACCTCCCCTCTTCCCTTCCTCCCTGTACACCCCTTACCTGACGACCTCGGGAAATAACGAAGCCAGCACACCCTGTCCAAGTCTCGCCACCCTGTCCATCGCACACGTGGGCAGCCACGGTCCTGACTAATGAGAGGATCCGAGCTGGACAGGCGGGGCAAGAGCGCCCTCTGTCTGTAGAAGAAACAGCAATCGCAGCTCAAGATGCCATCGCCCTGGGAAGTCCTGGGCCCTCCCGGCATCCCAGAGGCTCCATCCAAATCTCCACCCTAGTTCCCATCAGCTTCTTTCACTCCTTTTTCCAGTTAACAAAGAGATGTTCCAGTTTCCCAGAATTCAACTGAAGCTTCCAAATAATATTTTATTATTTTGTACGTGTGTACTGTCAAATTAGATCTGACCGGTACAGGAGGAGATTGCCCCTCCTTCTTCAGCAGAGCATCTGGTGGATTCAAACCATGTACCTCTGGGATTGCAGTGCAGGTTCTTGCCACTAGGCCACCAGTCCACTCACTTTTAATGTCATCAAGCCAAATGGGCTTTAAGTTGATGATTATCAGTGTGACTAAAGGTATTGTGGGAAAGCATAGCAGCACCTGAGCTCGAGACGCCTGGACCACAACGCCTGCGAGACACACTCAGAACCCCCTCCTAGAATTGCAAGTGTTCACACCAGGACGTGTGGCTGAACCCCACATGCCAGGCTGCCTTGTCGACCTGCAGCCAACCTGCTTGTCCACCTGGGGAGCAACTGGTTACATGGTCGGTGCTCTGCTACTTACCTAGACTCTGTGCCGACCACTGAGGTCGTTCAGGGCACGTTCACCTTCCCAGCATCAGAGGGCACACCTTAGACTAAGGTGCACTTGATCCAAGTCATGCTGTCTTCAGTTGCTTCCTGTGCATCTGAAAGTTGGTGGTTGTTGTTATGTGCTGTCGAGTCACTTGCGACTCATAGCGACCCTATGTACAACAGCTAAACCCTGCTCTATCCTGTGCCAATCGCATTGCCTCTGACACACCCATCCCGATTACCCCAGTCACTGAATCAATCCACCTCATAGAGGGTCTTCCCCTCCTGTGCTGTCCCTCCACCCTCCCAAGCATGATGTCCCTCTCCAAGGACTGGTCTCTCCTTACAACATGTCCAAAGTATGTCTCTCCTTACAACCTGTCTAAAGTATGTCAGATGAAGCCTCAGAATCCTTGCCTCCAAGGTGCAGCCCGGTTTAACCCTCTCCAGGGTGAATCTGTTTGTTTTCTTGGCAGTCCAGGGTACATTCAATACTCTTCTCCGGCACCACAGCTCAAAGGCATCAATTCTCCTTCTATCCTGCCTAGTCACTGTCCAACTCTCTGATGCATAACAAGTGATTGCGAAGACCATGGCCTGTATCAAATGCACCTTGGTCTCCAGAGTGACACCATTGCTCTTCAGTACCTTGGTGAAGTCCCTAACAGCAGACTTTCCCTTCGCAATACTTTTTTTTTTATTTCCTGGCTACTGGTGCCAAGAGTGTTGACCATGGAGCCAAGCAGACTAAAGTTGTTAATAATTTCAATCTCTTCACCATCCATACTGATGCTGCCAATTGATCCAGTGGTGAGAACAACAAACCAAAATGACAGAAGAATCGACGTCTTTGAATTGTGGTCATGGCAAAGAGTATTGCATATCCCATGGACTGTCAAAGAACAAACTGAAGGAAGTACATCCAGGTGCTTCGGTAAAGGCAGGGTCGGTGAAACTGTGTCTCGCTTACTTTGGGCATATTTGCAGGAGGAACCAGTCTTGAGAGATGCCGGGAAAGGTAGAGGGGTCAGCAAAAGAGAGGAAGACTCTCAACAAGATGGATCAGCACCGCGACGGCTGCAGTGGGCTTGAGCATGGGGACGTGGCTGTGATGGAGCAGGACAGAGCAGGGTTGTCTGTTCATAGTGTCCCCTGTGAGTCACAGGGGACGTGAGGCCACCTAGCAGCAAACAACAATGCCAGTGCCACCTTGACACTATGTCTTGAAGGACATCATATTTGGAAAAGGAGAAAGTCAGTAAAAAAGGGAGACACACACACACCCCCCGTGAGGTGGATTGGCACAGTGGACTCAACCAGCAGAGGTCAAGGCCACCCGTCAGCTCAGCCACCGGGAGGCCAGGGGGCTAAGGCCTGAGTGGAGGACACAGGGTTGCCTGCTGAAGGAGCTAAGCCTGGTGAAACCGCTCACGTGCCCCTGTTCTCACCCCTTTCAGGAACACGCACGCCCACGGCAGCCATTACAATCCCATCATGCAGCAGCCTGCGCTCCTGACGGGTCACGTGACCCTGCCCGCAGCCCAGCCCTTGAATGTGGGGGTGGCCCACGTGATGCGACAGCAGCCCACCAGCACCACCTCCTCCCGGAAGAGTAAGCAGCACCAGTCGTCAGCAAGGTAGGTGGGAGCGGCTGGACAGAGGTGAAGAAGAGAGGCAGCTCTAGGGAGGACTAGGAAGAAAGGTCTGGCGGCCTCCTGCCCAGAGCCCTGTGGGGCCAGCAGAACTCTGATGTGCTGGGAATGAGCCCTTAGCTCAGAAGGCACTCAGGAGCCACAGTGGCCTGCAGGATGCGCTCAGGAATCCAGCAGTCAATCACTGTTTGTGGGGTCATCGTGAGAGAGGATTCAGGATGTCCCCTTTGCGTCCTGAGCTCTAGACAGGACGCAGCTGCCCTGCTGACGCTGACAGAGCATCCCACACACAGACAGCTCTGAGGCCCTTAAACTTGCAGGTGTGTGAGGGCTTTTAGGAAATGGGACTCAACAGGGCAGCAGGACCACAGGAGCCACTGGGCCCCACTGGAGAAAGTGCCAGCCCCTCTCACTGCCCCAGAGGGGGAGGCTGGAACCCCACCGTCCCCTGCCCTACCCTGCCACTTAACCCAGTAAACACTGACACGGTTTGCCTTGGAAATCATTCCCCAAAGCGCCTCTTCAAACACAGTAAGCGAAGGTGCCTCCTTTAGATCGAAGGGCCTAATTTTGCATCTCTGGGCCACCTGCCTGCATGCGTCTCAGGGGCTACCCCAGACCCTCAGCTGCACAAGGCCATTTCTGTGGCTTTATCAGATTCTCCTCTCCCGGGCCCACAGGGAATCTTCTGAGGTGTATAAGATGAAGGAAGGGTTGTTTTCTGACTGTGTATTTGCCAAAATTCCATGAGCAACTTGAAAATGGTGAACCTTTCCTGTGTCCAAGTTTACACTTCAGTAAGGAAAGTGTGCCTGGGGCTCAGACCTGCCCAGGGTTCTGTGGACTGCCCCTGGGAAGACAGCTCTTAGGGTGACCAGGGGACGGTGCTGTCCCCCGGATCCCTGTGTATTGAACGGAAGGTGGGGGGCTTCCCAGCTGGACAGGTCACTCACTGTCTCCGTGGTGCAGGATTAGCCCACCCCAAGGCCGTTGACCACACAACCTCTTTGTCCCGTCCCCCTCTCTGCTTTTGCCTAGCTGATGCCGAGAGCCCGCTGGTGGCTCGTTTCAGGATCAAGGCAATTCCAGTCACATCTGAGCTTGAGGGTTGTTTAGACCAGAGGGAGCCACGCTGATTACTTCAAGGCCATGCCTCTCTGGCAGTTGGGGTTCACCCTTGGTCCTCGGGAGAAAGATGGGCAGTCTCCCACGGGGTTTCCTGTGTCTGAAACCCGCTGGAGAGACTCCGCGGCATTGAGTTCGTGAAGATGTAAATGCTCAGAGGCCTGAAGGCTCCCCCTGACGGTCAGTGACCTCAGGTGGACGGACACCTAGTGCAGGTCTGACAAGGGCTGCAGCAGTGAGAACGTGTGCATGGAGTCGTGACACTGACATGTGGGCAGCAATTTCTATTCAGGGCCCAGTAAGACTGATCTCAGTGCAACTTCTTACCTCTGCTATGGAAACAAAGCAAAACCCCTGCCCGGGTTTCACTGCCAGCCAAGCAGTGGGCTACTCAGGAGATGATCGGGTCAGCAGTTTGCAGCCACCAGTCAGCCCTGAGGAGGAAGATGAAGTGGTCAGCGGCTGTGGAGATTTACCGCCGTGGGAACCCTGGGAGGCAGTGCTGTATCCAGCAGGGCCAGTAAAGCAGAAGCAATGGGTTTAGGGTTTGCGGTCTAAAAAGCCTCCACACCTCCCTCTTCCCTCTGAAGACGATGACAGAGGAGTGACAGCCAGTGACAGCGGCAGTGGTGGGGCAGGCGGGGACGTGTACCCCCAGACACAGAGGGCAGGGCCACAGGGGGTGCACAGGACCCCAGCCCCTCCCCACTTGACCCCTTGTCTCCGCCTGCCCCCCTAGAACATAGCCTGTTTATATTTTATGGCCAAAAGATTTTGAATTCTGTTGTCTGGCCGCGTGCCCAGCCCTCCCCAGGACCACAGAGCCTGCCCTGCCTCTGGCCCCTGGTCCCCCAGTTTCTTCCATAGTTGGTTCTTTAGTCGCCCCTCCTGCGCCCCTTTTGAGTTTCATATTTGCTAAGACAAATTTGCTCATTAAACATTTTGTTGTATTTTGTTAAAAAAAGCCACAGACCCAACACCTGCTACTGAGGAAGATAAAAAACTGCCCTTCGCTACACTGTTACTGTTTTCTTGTCTGCTCTGGAGGTTGAAGGTGCTGCAATCTCTAAGGATGCAACAGAATGGGTTTCACTGTACTTACTAGCATGCCACCAGGGTCAGCAAGAGTTGGAAGGGGAGAGAAGGAGGAATTTTTTTTTTCTCTCTCACTAAAATTACCAGAAAGGGCAGTTGCTGATTGAATGAGGGCTTTCCAGCCAGCCAAATCCAGGCCTCGTAGGTTTTCATCCCCAGCCAGCCGGACAGGTGTGCCCCCTTAAGCCTCAGGTGCAGTTAAAACTCCGGTTTGAATGGCACTCACACCCCGTTTGATGCCCTTGAGCTGTGCAGAAGAGCACTGAAGATCCCTGGGCTGCCAGAAGAACACACGGCTGTGAAAAGATGATGAGGCTTCATTCACCTCCCGTACTTTGGGCATGTTGGCAGGAGAGGCTACTCCATGGAGGACATCGTGCTTGGAGAGGTGGTAGGTCAGAGAGGAAGACCTTCCACAAGAAGGAGTGGCGCAGTGCCTGCAGCAGTGGGCTCAGGTGTGTCAGATGATGAGGCTGGCACAGGACAGGACAGCATGAGTCATACCCAACTCCTGACAACAGCCGGTCAATGCCCAGCCCACAGGCCTGGCCCCGCCCTGAAGCCCTGGCACTCTGTGTCCCCTGGAACAGCCCCTTGGGGCCCAGCTGAGCAGAGACGGTCTCCCTGCCCCAGCAGCACGTCACCCCCCATGTCAACTGGCCTCCTGACTCTTCCAAAGGTCCGATCGACCCAGGGTTGGGGCTGGGGCCCGGCCCCCCTGAGCATCTGTGTTCTGTGTCTCTGCAGGAACGTGTCCACCTGTGAGGTGTCCTCCTCACAGGCCGTCAGCTCCCCGCAGCGGTCCAAGCGCGTCAAGGAGAACACGCCCCCTCGCTGTGCCCTGGTGCGCAGCAGCCCGGCCTGCGGCCCCACGGTCACCTGCGGGTGGGGCGACGTGGCCTCCAGCAGCTCCCGGGAGCGGCAGCGCCAGACCATTGTCATCCCCGACACCCCCAGCCCCACCGTCAGCGTCATCACCATCAGCAGTGACACGGACGAGGAGGAGGAGCAGAAGCA